CCCCAAAACCCCAAAACCCCAAAACCCCAAAACCCCAAAACCCCGGGCCTACTGAATTTAATTGAAAATAGGTGAGCGCTCGAAAATTCGAAAGAAGTTATTATTTTAATATCATGCAAATTGGGCAAAAATGGCTATAGAATAATAATCAACAAAGCAAAAACCTGCATTGTCAGAGGAATATTACCGGCCGTTGCAATACAAGGTCGGCTTCTAAACCTGAAGCGGGATCGCTCAAATTGGAACTATATAGTGAATTCAAAATTTGATTTTATGATGACGTATTTTCAAGAAAGATGACACCAAGATATCTTAATGTAGAAATTATGAATTATCTGGTGGGGGAATTGCTGATGAAATTGGAGCTGCCGGATCTACATCTAGTTTTCCCATATCTTCGGTGAGCTCTTGAACCTTGCTGCTAGTGGCCAGAGTACTATCTGTGGCTTCTGATGCTGAAATTTCATTCTTTTCTTCTTCAAGAAGAGCTTGCTTAGCAGCTTCTCCAAATTCATCTCCTGGATATTCGTTCCAAGGTCCCATATCAGCTGAAAACCATTCTTCGCCTCCTTCTGAGGGTGTCCATTCTCCTCCAAGACTTTCTGGAACAGTTGCAGGGTCTACATACTTGAAGAGCTCTTTCTGGAATGAGGAGCCATGAATAGAAATCTTTTTCTTTGTCTTTGCATCTAAAAATGGGCTGATTATAGCCCATGCTCCTTTAAACACAAAGGATGTATTTACAATAAATGTTTTATACATAATCTCAGGGTAGTTATCAGATCCAATGTCAATAGCAAGTTTGATAAAGTTTCTGGATTTCTCTTTAAGCTTTCCCATTGAGAATCCTTTAAGGTTGAGCAATGAAAAAGATTGCTCAATCTTCTTGCCAGCTGCAGCTGAGCAGGCTGGGAATCTGATATGGAGTAATTTTTCATATTCTCTCACATAATAAACATATAGCTCTTCTTTGCTAATAATTTCGAGTAAATCATCTAGGTGGAAGTTGCAGGGTTGGTCGATATAGAAAGGTCTTCCTTCAAGATCAGTACCATGATACCCATGTGGGTAGATCTCTTTAGCTTTAGAAATATTGGGGCACTTATAAATAACCATGGCTTCATCTGCTCTATGCTCGACTCTCCACTCTAAGAACTTTTTGAACATCTCCATGGTTTTTTCAATATCAAACTTTCTAGCCCTCAAAAATCTGAGAAGATAGTAGTCATCATACCTCGGATCCTCAGTGAGGGATTCCTCAGCAATGACTTTCTTAAATTCCTCAAGTGTTTGTTGCTGTTCTTCAGACATATCGTCCATGAAGCCTGAATGTTCTTCCTTTTTCTTGCTTGAAAACCACCCCATTTTGTTAAAAGATTTTAATAAATATTTTAAATTTGTGATTTAGCTGTGGGGTTTTGGGGTTTTGGGGTTTTGGGGTTTTGGGGTTTTGGGGTTTTGGGG